AAAATGTAAGGAGTAGAAGTAAAAAGTCGCCATAAAAATAAGTAGTAAAGTAAAGTAAAAATATCAGAAAAATCTACTTGAGTACAGTAACAAAGTATTTGTACTTCGTTACTTCCCATCTCTGATTATTAAATTGAAATAAGACAATGCAGTTACTTTTTCTTATGTTAATTTTAAATTGCCTTATTCCATTGGCAAAGTGCCTCACTTACCTCCTAAATTCAAGAAATAATCCACTTATTTTAAGAAAAAAACTGACCTATTGAGATTAAATTTTTTTGCAGTGCAAAAGAATTGCAGATGATGACAGTTTTCACAACATTCAGCTTTGTTTTTTTTTTTATCTTTGTTGTTTTCTCAAAGCAGAAAAAGCACCATGCTGACCAGCATTACTGACGGGATACTGTGCTGCCTTACGGGGAAAACCACCAATCTGGTCTTGCCTCTGGAGTCCTCAGAGCCTTCAGACGGTTTCGAGTTTGTGGAGGTAAAGCCAGGGAGGGTCCTACGAGTGCGACACATCAAACCAGTGCACCAGTGCTTAGAAACAAAGAAACAAGATGCAGAGAAAAACACAAAGAATGTTGACTGTGATGCAAAAGGTGATGCTCCGCCCGAGGACTCCAGGGATAACGATGATGATGATGCTGGCACCAGTGTCCACTGTAAGAGGAAGATCACAGTTTATCGCAACGGCCAGTTGGTGATTGAGAACCTCGGTGATGTGTTGCACTCTGAGATTCTGCAGTGCCAGGATGGCGATCTGGAGCCCTGCAGCACCGTGGAGGTGGAACTGGCTGATTACAAAGAGACGCCCTCATCCCCAGATCCAAACCCGGTTCCCACGGTCCCACTGCCCTCCGGGGACCAGAAACCCGCTCCACCACCCCGCCGCCGCCGCCGCAAACCAAAACGCACTGTGCTCATCGACTCCACGAGGGTGATCTCGAGTTGCAAAGGGACACATTCGGACGTGGCGCTTTTCTTTGTGCACGGCGTGGGAGGCTCTCTGGACATCTGGAGCAGCCAGCTGAACTTCTTCTCACGTTTGGGTTATGAGGTCATCGCGCCAGACCTGGCAGGGCACGGGGCCAGCACCGCTCCGCAGATCGCGGCAGCGTACACCTTCTACGCTTTGGCAGAGGACCTCCGGGCCATCTTTAAGAGATATGCTCGGAAACGCAACATTCTCATCGGCCACTCGTATGGGTGAGTATTTGGGGAGGAAAATAGGATTTCTGCAGTTGATATGTTTATGCCGCGCTTTAATTATGTCTTCACGTCTCTTCCAGGGTATCATTTTGTACATTCCTGGCACATGAATACCCTGATCTGGTCCATAAGGTGGTGATGATCAATGGAGGGGGGCCTACAGCTCTAGAGCCAAGTCTCTGTTCTATCTTCCAGCTCCCATCATGTGTCCTTCACTGCCTATCCCCTTGTCTGGCCTGGAGCTTTTTAAAGTATGAATCTAAAGTTTGATGTTGCAGAATGTTGACAGTGTTTAAAGGAAAAGTCCGGTCAGCAAGGAATTACCAACGGATCATTTATATCCCTAAAAGTAATACGTTAAAGGTGATTTAATGAATTTAGCGTTAATTACTAAAAAAAATTTAAGTCTG